CTAATTTACATAATTTTCATTAAATCGACTTTCATGTGGTCCTAACCGCTCCATCCCACCAAATAGAAGTTTCTCCTGTTTGGAATCCAATATAAAGGATTCAGAATACAGTGACATTAGAAGGCCCTGCCTCTCTCTTGATTGGTGAGGCTGTGGATCTTAATAGGAAACCTGTATTCTTTACCTCTGAGATGGATAATTTTCAGGAAAGCTGCTGGCACAACTTCCTCCAATTTTTTTTTCTTTTACTGTAGATTTTTCTCTTACAATATTTCTTGATTATAGTTTCCTCTCTTTCTACTCCTAGTTCCTCCCCACCTGCCTTCCCCTCTGGATCCACTCCATTTCTGTCTCTCATTAGAAAAGGTTTTTTTTTGGGGGGGGTAGTGTCGAGACAGGGTTTCTCTGTAGCCCTGGCTGTCCTGGAACTCACTCTGTAGACCAGGCTGGCCTCAAACTCACAGAGATGCACCTGCCTCTGCCTCCCGAGTGCTGGAATTAAAGGCATGCACTACCACTGCCTGGCAAGAACAGGTTTCTAAGAGATAACAAAACATGACAAAATATATAAGCTAAAGCAAAAGCCATCATATCGAATTTGGACATGGTAATCCAACAGGAGGGAAAGTCTCAAAAGCAGGGACAAAAGTAGAGACACACTCATTCTCACGGTCAGGAGTCCCATAAAAACACTACACTAAGAGCTGTAAAATATATGCAGAGGAGCTGGTGCTCACCCGTGTAGGCCTGTGCTTGCTGCTTCAGTCTCTGTGAGCTCAAATGTGCTGTTTATTGATCCAGAGGGCCTTGTTCTCCTGGTGTCCTCCATCCCCTCTGGCTCTCTCTTCCCACCTCCTCCTCAGCGAGATCCCCCGAGCTCTGAGGGCTTTGATGGAGACATTCCATTTAGACTATCTTTCCCTGTTAGTCTGGCTGTAGGTTTCTAAATCTTTCTCCTCAACTGCCACAGGCTTCTCTGATGATGACTGGATAAGGCACTGATCTGTGAGTATAGTAGAATATAACTAGGAGTCATTGTAACTGAATCAGTAGGGTTTGGTTTTACTCCAGGTCTCTAGACTGTCCAGTCTCTGGTTCCTGGTTACCCAAGCAGGGTTGGTTTCCAAGCAGGGTATGGGTTCCTTCTCATGGAGGAGCCTTAAGTCAAATTGGACATTGGTTGGCCACTCCTACAAGTTCTGTGTCACCACGGGGCCACTTAATCTCAACGATGTCACCTGAAGCACTTTAGTGGGTCATTAGTGCATCTTCTTCATATCTACTCAGAATCTCAGATTTTCAGAGTCAGGGACAGTGGTCCTCAGACTTCTGAGCACTTATAAACCAGTGTTATTATTAAGACGAGGGTTGCTGGAATTATGTTTCTCTAAGACTGGAATTGAAAAGCACCAAGCTTCTATTTTTTTTAAAGATTTATTTATTTATTATGTATATACAGCGTTCTGTCTGCTTGTATCCCTGCAGGCCGGAAGAAGGCACCAGATCTCATTACAGATGGTTGTGAGCCACCGTGTGGTTGCTGGGAATTGAACTCAGGACCTCTGGAAGAGCAGCCAGTGCTCTTAACCTTTGAGCCATCTCTTCAGCCCCCAATCTTCTATTAATACAGCAATATTTCATAAAAATAAAGGGCATACCACACCCAAATTATTGTGAGCACCAACTAAGTATCACATACATTTGACTATAAGAACCATTTTGACTTACAAACTTTAAAAAAAATATTTTTAAACAATAAAGTATCATGGGAAGAACTCATTTTGCCAATAGCCTTGGGGTACCAGTCCTGACAACTGATAAGCTGAGGAGGAAGGGTCTTTCACTCTCTTGCTCTAGCTTTCTCTTGGTGTGGTGGGAGAGCACCCTGGGGCATGGTACCCCAAGGCTACTGGCAAAATGAGTTCCCACAACATGCATTTAACATGCCTGACACATCAAAGCTCCACTGTATTAGTTACTTTTATGGCCACTATGGCAAAACTTCTGGCAAAGAAGGAAAGATTTGTTTTGGTCACTGTTTCAGAGGGTCACCATCCATCATGGTGGAGAGGGCATAACGGAGACCGCAAAGTGACTCAGCTCCTGGTAGCAGGAGTGAGCAACAGTGGCTTGTTGTGTTACAACTAAGTCCCCCCCCCCCCGCCAGTCTGGTCCCATTGCCGCGCCAGCCCCAAATAACACACAGAGACTCTGTATTAGATATACTTCTGTTGGCCAGTTACTAGTTTCTTATTGGCTAGCTCTGTCTTAAGTATCAACCCATTTCTATTAATCTAAGTATTTCCACATGGTCTCATCTTACCGGAGAGTGGGGCAGGCGTCTGCTCTCTCCAGTCTCTACATGCTGACTCCTTACCACTTCCTTGAATCCTCCTTGTCTCCTAGTCCCACCTATCTTGCTTTCCTATTGGCCAACAGTGCTTTATTCATTAACCAATAAGAGAAACATATTTACAGAATGACATCTTCCATCAACTCCTTTTTTCTGTCTAACTAAAAAGAAGGAATTTGGAAACATATTCACAGAATGACATCTCCCATCATTGTTGGTAGGGAAATCAGAGCCTAGACAGAAATCAGGGTCCTGCCCCGGGTGACCTACTTCCACAAGACAAGCCAATCTCCAGCCTTCAACCACAAACCTGGGGATACAGTGTTCAAAACATGATCCTACGGCAGTTACTTTGGGATCAAACCATCCCATCTGAATTGTTACTAGTATTTAGTAAATGTGAACCTTTCTTCCTCCCTGAATCCTCTTCCTCCTGTTTCTTCAAGATTTGCTGAGCTCAGTAGCCTGGAGTGTGCCCTTTGGGGACAAGAGCTACTGAATGACTAATAAGACCGAGAAGATACTGGGTTCCAAGAGGTACCCTAGGGAGTTAGGAAGATGGCGAGACAGGAGTGAGCTCGAAGACTCCTTCCCACAGGGCTTACCAACCTTGCTAGGAAGGGGAGAGTACTGGGTGCAGGATCATCTAAGAGACACAACAGATCAACATTGTTTTTGGGTTTGATTCTGTGCGTGTGTGCGTGCGTGCGTGCGTGTGTGTGTGTGTGTGTGTGTGTGTGTGTGTGTGTGTGTGTTTGGTGTATATGTAGAAGCCAGACACTAACATCAGGTATCTTTTCAATCACACTTCTCTTCAGTTCTTGAGTCAGTGTCTCTTGCTGAACCTGGAGCTCAGGACTCATCGAGTCCCAGGAATCTCCTGTCTATTTCCCGAGTGCTGGGGTTACAGGACAGTGCTGCAGTATCCATAAGTGGGTGCTGGGGATCCAAACTCGGACTCACATGTTTGAACGGCAAAGACTCTACTGACAGGGCCATCGCTCCAGCCTTTCCTTGGGAGTTTTAATACCTCATGGATGTGAGGAACTCCCCACCCCTCCCCTTGGTGTCATGTGTGGCACAGTGGTGTAAGACTGCCCGTGAAAATTCAGCAAGGGCTTGTAGTCCTAATACATAACCGAGAAGGCGTCCCAGAAGCAGAAACAGAGGGTGACCACGAACACAGAAGTTGTCTGAAACCTCTAGAAATGTCAGCTAGGTTGCTCAGCAAACATCTGTCTTCCCATTCAAAAGCTATTCTGGTCTCAGAGCTGGCCATGGATAAGAAAGATGAGATCAAATTGATTCCAAAGCTCTAAACCTGGCCCGGCTGGGTCAGAACTCTGGTTTAATTCTAGAATCACTCTGTCAAGACAATCCTTGGCCTAAAGATGTTCAAGGGCTAGAAAGGATACCTGCACTGATGTCTCAGTGCCAGCATGAATCCTACAGACTTTTAGTACTGGAATACCTCACCTCCCTTGGACTAGAAGGTTGTGTCCCAGTGCAAGGCTGTAAGCCATGACGAAACAATGGCTTACTCAGACAGCACCAGAGGAAACATTGTTGCCAGGGAACACAAAAGCTTCCAGCTCTATTGGTTTGGTCCCTGGCACTACCCTGTGCAAAAGCCTCCCCCTTTCCCATCTCTGGATTATCTCCAAATTCTTTCTGGAGCACCAGGGACCTGATAGACTCGCCGCCCACCCCCTTCGCCCCCAACTCCCAACAACTCCAGCATCTTCCATGTTATTATACAGAGTAGAAACCAAAGACCCCCAACAACTTCTTTTAGACTGTGTCATTGTAGTCATCCGTGAAATGGGGTGGTGCTAAAACCAACCAACTGCCTCGGGGACCGACTGAGTGATAACGCCCTGGGCGAGGGAGAAAGGAGGGGGGCGTGAACAACAGTGTGACGGGAGTCACTAGGGCAGCATCCTCTAACCCGCGGGCAAATCCCTCTCGGTCCCCCCCCCCCCATCAGACCTCTAGAGAATTCGCCCTGAGGCGGTGGGAAAGTTAGTTCCCACCCACCCCCTGCGGACCGGGGCGGCTGCCGGTGTCCGCTGGCTAGCGGCGGCGTCTGGTGCCGTGAGTGCTCTGCGGGCTGCCGCCCTGCAGGGGGAGGCTGCGGGATGCAGGACGGGCAGGGCCCGGGGCCAGCGCGGGGGATGGGCGCGGGATAACGGGCGCCCGCGCCAGGCCCGCCGCCGGGCTCCGACTCCGCGCAGGTCCCCGGCTCCGTTATCCCCGCGCGCCGCGCCGCGCTGCGCTGCGCAGGGCAGGGGACGGGGGCGCGCGCGCGCAGGGCCGGGTGCGAGCGTGGGGGGGGCCGCCGCCGCCGGGGGCGCGCACGCTCTGACGTCACGCGCCGCCCGGCCAATGAGCGCCGTCCCTGCGGGGAGGCGCCGTTCCCGCCCTCGCCCGCCGCCGCCGCCGCCGCCGCCGCCGCAGGACGCTGCCGCCGCCGCCGCTCGTGCCGCCCCCGGGGACCGGGCGGTGGAGGCGGGGGAAGCGAGCGTCTGAGGAGGCGCCGCACGGCAGCGCCGGGCTGCGGGCGGTCGGGACGGGCCCGGGGAGCCGCTCATCCCCGACCGATGTCCTCAAGATGGAGGCGGCGGGGGCGACGGCGTGAGGAGGAGGCGGAGGAGAGCGCGGGAGCAGGCCGGCAGGCGGCGGGCGCGGCGGGATGGGGCTGCTGCTCATGATCCTGGCGTCGGCCGTGCTGGGCTCGTTCCTCACGCTGCTCGCACAGTTCCTGCTGCTCTACCGCAGGCAGCCCGAGCCGCGGGCGGACGAGGCGGCCCGCGCGGGCGACGGCTTCCGCTACCTCAAGCCGGTGCCGGGCCTGCCGCTCAGGGAGTACCTCTATGGCGGCGGCGGGGGGGGCGGCGGCGAGGAGCCCGAGGCCGGCCCGGCCCCGGCCCCGGCCCCGGCCCCGGGTCCCGACGGCCCGGCCCCGCCGACGCGGGAGACCTGCTACTTCCTCAACGCCACCATCCTGTTCCTGTTCCGGGAGCTGCGGGACACGGCGCTCGCCCGCCGCTGGGTCACCAAGAAGATCAAGGTGGAGTTCGAGGAGCTGCTGCACACCAAGACGGCCGGCCGCCTGCTGGAGGGGCTGAGCCTGCGCGACGTGTTCCTGGGCGACGCGGTGCCCTTCATCAGGACCGTCCGGCTGCTGCGGCCCGTGGTGGCCTCGGGCGCCGGAGAGCCCGACGGCCCCGACGGGGACGCGCCGCCCGCCGCCTGCCCCGAGGAGCTGGCCTTCGAGGCGGAGGTGGAGTACGACGGCGGCTTCCACCTGGCCATCGACGTGGACCTGGTGTTCGGCAAGTCCGCCTACCTGTTCGTCAAGCTGTCGCGGGTGGTGGGGAGGCTGCGCTTCGTCCTCACCCGCGTGCCCTTCACCCACTGGTTCTTCTCCTTCGTGGAGGACCCGGTCATTGACTTCGAGGTGCGCTCCCAGTTCGAGGGGCGGCCCATGCCGCAGCTCACCTCCATCATCGTCAACCAGCTCAAGAAGATCATCAAGCGCAAGCATACCCTGCCCAGTTACAAGATCAGGTGAGGAGGAGGAGGGGGTGGGGTGGGGGTGGGGGACGGTCAGGGGAGCTGCGGCTGCCCGGGGATTGGGGTGGGGGTGCGGTGGCCACGGAAGGGCCGGGGCCCACCCAGCACGGCCCTGGAGCGCACTGCGCCTCCGCCCGGGGCAGGGGGGCTCCTAGGTAAGGACGCAACCGTGGGAGCTGGAAGCCCTACCCGGTGCCACTGGCCACTCAGTGCCTTTTCTCCCCAGGGGCCTCCTGGGACTGTTGAGACACTCCCGCCTGAGGTTTGCTGCACCCTGGGGGCGGCGGCAGTGTCGCCGCCGTCTTTTGCAGCATCTCCCGGGGCCACGTGGAGAAGTTGTTCTGGATACATTGCAGGCCCGAAGGGCTGGCGCGCTCACAGCCCAGGTCCGTCTGCGGCACAGGCTTTAGTGCTTCTGCAGCTCTCGGGGCAAAGGCAGGGGTTGGGGGGGAGGTCGTTGCAGAAGGATGTGTCTTAGACTTGAGTCCTGTGCCCTGATGGTCCTCTCTGTGCATTTGGAGTAACTGTCATCCATGTGCCCTTGGGAAGGGGATTCAGCATCTCAGACGGACAGACCCAGACTCCACTTGTCCAGGTGTCTGCTGTCCCCAGTGGCTGTTCCTCTCTTAAGTCGTCTTGAAGATTGTATTTTAAAGGTGGGGATTTTGAGTTTCTAAAAGCCCCTCTGTATCTGGTGACCTATTTTTATGTGATACATTGTTTTGATTAATTAATGGGTTGAGTTGCCTTTTACTGACATGGATGGGGGAAATGAGAATTTGGGGGGGTCTTGGAAGGCTTGTTTGAGTAGAAAGGCTATTATTTCTTTCAAAGCAGCCAGTTTTTTTAACTTCTCTTTCTATCTGTCATTGACTCCATGTTCCCTAAATTGAGCGTTTTAGATTTTGTTCTTTACTGTGAAATTATCCGTCATCTATTGTCATCCCATTACACCTGCCCTTTAGTGGAAATTGAATGTCCCTGAACATTAGTTTTTTTTTCCTTTTTCTTTTCTTCTTTTTTACCGCAGTCTCAAACCACATAATTTCAGAAATCGTGCAGATCTGGAATGGATTTTCGCTTTGTGAAGCTTGGACGTTACTAGTTATATAGAATAAAGGAGAGTTGAAACTGTTGGGTGTCAAGAGAACTATTGTATGAGGCACATATCCCCGTGGATTTGCAGGGGATGGTGAACTGGTTATTTACAGTGTAGGACTTCTAGTTCTGTAAAGCATCTGTAGTTTATGAAACGTACTTTTATGTGATTACATTATGAGTTGTAGTTTTTAAAGCAGAAATGTTGTCTATAGCAAATGTCTTAGCAAAGAAAGTCATACGTGAAAGTTGCAAATTTTGATAATGCATCACAATTCATTGGTCAGTCAGAAACTACTGCAGAGTGCCTCACTCAGTATATGACTTTGGGACATTTATTACATCCTCCTTGCTGTTCTCAGTGCGTGAGATTCTGTACTTACCAGAAATAAGGGCTGCCACCGCCTTTATAATGTTTAGAGTTCACTGAGAATAGACTTCTCCGCTTACTGACATTTAAACGAGGCTGGAGTTGGTAGAGGGTTGAAATCACTAGGAAGCTGCTTTTTAGATTAGCAGAAGGGAAATAGAAACGTGAGGATGGGAAGTACTGCCTGAGGAAGTGCTAACACGTCTTGTTAGTAGTGTAGTAGCCAGTTAGTAGTAGTAGTAGTAGTAGCCAGTAGTGTGCTGTGTGGTAATGTAGTGGAGTTGACTTCCTGAGGGACAACACATCTAAGATGTGTCCCCAGTCCTACAAAGAGAGCATGGCTAGCATTTGGTCCTGCTTTTATTGAGGGAATGAAGCACATGGCAGTTGAGTAACCTGCAGAAGTCACACAAGCTGTCAAGTGGATAAAGTGAGGCTGTCTTTTTAATTTTTTTGTAATTTAAAGGAATTTCAGTTCAACCTCATTAACTCTTTATATTTCTTGGATTGGGTACTATCCACCAATACATGCTTATTGGTATACATTTTTGCTTCCTGCTTGCAAAACCTTTTAAATCATTCCGATTAAATGAAGAGAAGAAATACACAAAAAGTTTCTTTTGTTTTCCGAATTAAAGATAACATTTCACACAGCCTACAGTTTTACCCCCAGATCCAGAGGTAAGTCCCATTAAGTGATCAGGATGACTCCATTTAATTATCTTGATTATTAGTAATGCAAAAACAAAACCAAAAAACCATAATGGCTCTCAAAAGCAGAACTGATTAGCAAATAGGAGAGGGTGTCTTCTCTGGGCACACAAAGTTTTGATCTTGATAACCACGTGGAAGCTGGAGCATGCTGGGCAAGCCTTCTGGTACTGAGCTTCTGATTCAGTAATGCCACATTACCCTCTCCCCCCCCCCAACTTAACCCAGCACTCTGAGTACAAAGTAGCTCTGAAACTTCCCAGCTGACTTAAAGTTACACTGGGAGGTGTTCAGCACAGCATTTCTCTTTTAATCTCCCAGATTGTGTGTATCCGTTTGAACATCTAATCTTCTTTAAGAGCTAAAATAGTAAAGCGAAGTATTTTGAGTCTGGATTCTTTGCTGCGTTAACCCTGATATAACAGGCATCTTGGCGGACATTGTTGTTGTTTGTAAACTTTTCCTTTTCCATGTACCTTTCACAGGTCTCACTGGTTCACCTAGAAACAGTCAGGCTTCCTAAGAACTCAGACTTTACCGAACTGATACAGTCAGTTTATAAAACACTACATTTTAAAAAACGAATTGTAATACGCTGAAAATGTGTTCTCTGTTGTATTAGGAGCTCCCTCGTTGTTTTAATCTTTTTTCCTTAAAATGTGTACCTTCAAACAGTTCATAAAGTAGAAATATTTTTAAAACCTTTAACCTCCAAATTCATCTTCCCACTGTTGTCTGGCATGTGGAGAGTCTGTCTTCACTGTGACATCAGTCTGGGTTGTACTCCTGGGGTGGCAGGGCAGTGGTTCTCAACCTTCCCAATGCTGCGACCCTTTAATACAGTCCTTGTTGTTGTGGTGACCCCCCAACCATTAAAACTATTTTTGTTGCTACTTCATAACTGTGATTTTGGTGCGGTCATGAATGGTAATGTAAGTACCTGTATTTTCCCGTGGTTTTAGGCAACCCCTGTGAAGGGGTTGTTTGATCCCCCAAAGGGGTTTGGACCCACAGGTTGAGAACCACTGTCTTAGTGTGTTTTGGCCTGTAGCCAAACACTGATTTCTCAAGGGAAGGGCAAATTCCGTTTGCAGGCACTGTTTATTAGCCTTGTAGTGGTTTTCTAATGCTAAAAGGTGGGAGATTTTTCATGAAGTCAGTTTCTGGCTTCTGATTCTCATGATTTCCATATCTGCATTCCTCATAACAACAGAAGCAAAAGGAACTGTAGTAGCAGCTTTGGGGTGAAACTTGTGTGTGACATTTTCCTGTACGTCATAGTTCCTACTCACCTGCCCCAGCTGAGCTGGTACCTGGTTGGTTTGGAGTCATGTGCATTTGAGACCCTTTGGAGTGGGTGCTGGTGAGAGTTAATGGAGGGTGATTGTTTTACCCTTTTTAAACTTTGTTTTTGAAAAAGCTGCCATTGAGCAATTTTACTTTTATTAAAGATCTCTATAATGTTGAATTTTAAAAAGTAATTTTGCCACAAATTAAAAACCTTGAAATATTTCCATTTGATTTGTTGAGTAGTATTAGTAGAGTCTGCCTTTTGTTTGAATTTGGAAAATGTTTTGCTTGAGTGGATTTGGTCAGCAATTAAACAATTCTCAGCTACAAAAGAGGAAACATACTAAGTTGGCATGATGTTTGAGTTTACTAGGTATGGACACATGAGGGTGTCATTTAGAGGTGTAGGGTGTCTTTTGAGCCTGGCTTTTTGTTGTAACTAATTATTTTGCCCTATCTTTTTATTCCTGTAAACATCCTGAATTATATTTTTAGATTTTCACATATCCCTGGTGACCGGAAGGCATAGAAGACCACTGTATTGTCCCTGCTAAGGTTGAGGGATAGGGCAGTAACACCATTCATTCTGTTAATGTAGACACCATTGATTTCCAAGAACTAGATTAGGCTTGGCCTGTTAAACCTCCTACTTTGTAATGCAGTTTATACATAATTTATTTTTTTGTTCTAATGTGATGAAAAAGAGAAGCATTTATTTATTTTTAATGTTAATTATATTTAGATTTTTTTCCCCCTGATTACCTGAGGTAAAGATGACTTTAAATAATCCATGCTCTCTTAAAAACTTCCCAAGTAAACTCACAGAAAACTGACAAAACTGTTTGGGAGCTGTATTATTGTACTTACTCTTTCAATACTTTTCTCTGTGTGTATAGATAAGTTTGAAAGGCTATGTTCCTTTTAAGGTGGCTACTAAAACTCCTGAGTGGTTTGACAATTGTTAGCTTTACTTACTAATGTCATTAGGAAGTGTAACTAGCCTTTGATGGTCAAGGCACTAGAGGCAGTGGCATGGGTGTGTTACCGTAGCTACCCTGAAGTAATGATGTAATGTAATGGCAAATTTTCATCTGCTGTGCCTTTTTTCTTGTGTTTTCTTCTTTTTTTTTTTTTGTAAATGGAATTTCAAGATCATTTTCTCAGAGATGAATCATGAAGTCATTTTAAAAGTCATTACTTATTTTTCAGTAAGTGCTAATCATACACTGCACATACCAAGTCCTTTGTTGGGCGTTGGGATGATAAAAATAGTTGTAAGATATTCATGTTCTCATGTTGTCTGTTTTTTCTAGGGCAAACAAATAATCAAAGTTCATATTAGTGGCATCTGGGTATGCTGAAGATGTTATGCTTGTGAGGCACAGGAAGAGGAGAAATCGATATTTCTGCTTAAGCAGTTAGATGATTACTTGTTATATATAGCATAGAATGTCTAGGGAAAAACTATATATATATATGGTACAGTGCTACTCAGTTCCATATATCCACTGGAGTTGTAGAGTGT